GGGTCGCCCCCCATTCGCGCCCGCCCGAAGGTGCGGCTCGGGTCGCCGACCTGGTCGCCGGCGCTACACCGCGCCCCCGGCGGCGGGGACGGCATCCACATTTGGAGGGGGGATGAGCGGCGTAAGTGACGGGCCCATGATCCACCACCCCTACCAGAAGGTGGGCAAGGGAGGAGGAGGAGGAGGAGGAGGAGGAGCTCCTCATCCTCCCTTCTCCCTCGTCCTGCATATTGGTAGTGGTGGTGGGTAATCTGCCCATCAGTATAAGCATGAGCTTTCGGAGCTCCGCGCCGGTGCCTCGGATCGGCGCGCCGGCGCCGCCCCTGGCGGCGCCTGCAGGCGCCGCCCTGGGGGTCCAGCGCCGGCTCAAGGGTCAGGAGGGGGAAGAACACACGGACACAACTCACCGTCGATTCCCCAGAACATATCGGAGAATATGGGAGGTGGGGGGAAGACGAAAACCCAAAACATGTGGGAAGACATGGGGAGCCCGGTTTTTTGTTTCTACGGTTGTTTGTTTCTACTTGTTAGTGTGTCCTAGGGTCCCTTCAGAGAAGTCCGCGCGGACCTCCGAAAGCTGGTTCCACCCGACAGACACCCTGCATATACCGCGGCCGCCAGGCCCAGAGTGTGCCGGTGCTCTCTTCCGGGGCTCGGCCTTCGACGACCGACGACCGACGACTCTGCACGGGCCCAGCCCGCGGCGCTGCGTAACTTTGGGTATACATGTCCCGCCTCGCGTGCCCGGGTGGGGACCGCCGGAAGGAGTGTTTCTGCTTGCGCCTTTCTTGATGGGCCTGTTTTCCACCACCACACCACCACCAATGAATGGGGGGAGGGATGAGGAGGAGGAGGAGGAGGAGGAGGAGGAGGAGGAGGAGGAGGAGGAGGAGGATTCGAGGAGGAGGAGGAGGAGGAAGAGGAGGAGGAGGAGGAGGGCCCCCTCCCCCGTCAACTCGTGGTGGTGGTGGTGGACAGCGGGCCCACCATCTCTCCTCCCCGGGCCTCGGGCCCCTGCCGCTGTCGCCGTGCCTGGCCACGCCGCGCAGCACGCCCGGCGGCCGCGCCCGGGCCACGCGCGGCGGCGCGGCGTCCGGGGGGCGCGCCGCTGGGGCGGCCAGCCCGGGGCTCGAGGAGCAGGAGGGGAAAGAAGCACACAGACATCGGGGGCGGAAAAGAGGGGGGTGATGACTAGGGGGGGGTGGATATCATGGCGGGGGCCATGATATTTCCCCAGATTTCATGGCGCCTCTTCTTATTTCATTACGTCCCTGGCCCCCCCGCTGGGCCGCGCACATGCCGCCGGTCATGATTTGCACCCCCCCCTCTTGCACCCCCCCTCCTCTTGGCCGCTCCCGAAGACACAATCAATCGTCGATCCCTTGCAAAATATGGGAAGGTATGGGAAGTGTGTGTGGGGGGGGGAAGCCAAAGACCCCGAAAGTAGGGGAAGAGAGATGGGGAGTCCTGTTCTTTGCGCGTATTTTCATTTGTGTGTCCCGGGGCCCCTTCAGAGGAGCTGCGCCGGGCGGTGGGGCGGCAGTGGCTGCGCGTCGACGCGCTCAGCCAAGTCGGGATGCAGCTCCTGGGGACGTCAAGCCCAGGCCCCCTCGGGCAATGGACACACAAAAGTCCTGGCGGGAGGTTCGTCGCCCTTTTCGGCCTCCATGGGGGCCCTTCTCTGGGCCTCGGGACCGTCAAACAACGGCTCGGGATGAGAAACCGGTCCCTGGAATGGGTCGAGACCTCGGGGGTCGACGTAAGGATAACAAACAAAGACATGACGTCCGGGGTCTGGGAACTCAGCATCGGGGGAAGTCGATCGGTGGTCGGAAGCAGGCCTTCTCTAGCTTACTCCAATCCTGATGATTGCAGTTTCCTTCGAGGTGTTCGGTCAGGGCCAATTCGAGATTGCTTCACGGCCCATTAATCGGGCTTGATAACCCTTGACCGTTGTGGCGAAGATCTCCCAGAAGTTGCCTCCTAAGCCAAGAAGTAGCCGCCCTGCGCGACTGCCTGCACCTCGCCGGCACGCTCGGCAGAGAGAGCTTCGAGGTGTCGCTGCACCGGCGCCGATTCGTGGCGGTGTGCGCCGCACACCCGCCCGGCCGCGGGCCTTGCTTCGCGCAGGCGCTCGGGGGCCCCGAATTTCACCGAGCGCGTTGCACTGTTTGCAACGTGGCTACTTGCAAGCGTCAGAAAACAACATGTCTTCCCTGGCGTGATGCATCGTAGACCTCCCGCGGCGGATCCGGGCCACTTTTCGAGTGGTAACTCTGCGAGTAGCGGAACGCGCCTGTCAAGATTTGGCGCGGCGATCATCATCAGGGGGGTCAGTGGGCATGCCGGGGTGGCCGTGCGGTTTTGGGTCTCGGGTTGTTCTTCGGGGATGCCTTGGCCCACCGGGGCCTCCAGGGCCTCCCACACACCGTGCAGTGAGGCCTCTGAGGATTCCGAGGTGACCGCACGGTGCGTCACGTCACCACTCGTGCTACAGCCAAGCCGCATGCTATGGATGGGCAACCTGCCCAAGGGTATCCCTTGCATCCTTGCCTCCTCGGCCCATCCTTGGCCACCTTCGCTTGCCGCGCTCCGCTCGAAGAGCTTCGAAGTGATCTCCAGGGCCCTTGCATCCTCATTGCGCGTTCTTATTCTACGGGTTGACTGTATGTACGGATCCCACCGCACCGGCCCTTTCGACATGGAAGTCTTCCGCGTCTGAGTGCCTCCTCCTCCTCCTCCTCCTCCTCCTCCCGTCCTCTGCGGGGCCGCCCCTTCCCCCTTGCTCCTCCTCCTCCCGTCCTCCGCGCGGCCGCCCCTTCCCCCTTGCTCCCCCCCTCTTGCACGCGGGCCACTTCGCCTCTCGGCCGCCCCGCATGGCCACCCGCTGGAGCAGCTCCTCTGCCTTGCCGCCGACGATAACACAAGTCTGTGCGGACCCCACAGGCGGTGGCCGCGCCCGAGTTCGCCCCCGCCCTCGCGCGGGGGGCCGGGCTCCACGCCACCAGCGCGCTGGCGGCGGCCTCCCGCGCCGTGGGCCACGGCGTGGCGGGGGCCGCCGCCGCGCTGCGGCGGCAGTCCTCGCGCAGCGTCTACGTGTGCGGCGGCTTCGACGGCGCGGAGGCGCCGAGGCGGGGACGTGTCCATCACCGCCGCCCAGGGGAAGCTCAGAGGAGGAGAAGGTACCCATACCGCTACCCTCCGCCCGCTGTCCCCTTTTGGGGCCTCCTGGGAGGTCCTCGTCGCCACTGCTGGATTCGCCTCGAAGTCCTGGTCAGAACGCACCCCGGGAGAGGTCCGGGGAGCAACAGTATCGGTGCCTCCTGGTTTCCCCACCACCGCCCAGGTAGGAGGCCACATGCGAACCCTACCCCACCACCCCGTGATTTCTCAGGGGAGAAGTGCGGTGGGGTCCGCATGTGGCCTCCTGCCAGGGGGTTTACATTCAGGCCCCCTGGGGCCAAAAAACAGGGCCGGATGTTGATGTACAGTCGGGGCGCTGAAGAAGGAACCGTTTTCGTTGGGGAGTTGCTCGGTGTTCCTTGATTGTTTCGCGGGTCAGGACTTGCTAGATTGCGTCGTCGGTTTTTGGACGCCCAATCAGATTAGCTCAGCTACCCTTTCTGAGAAGATGAGACCCGCAGCATGCTTCTGCCCGCCCACGCGTCTGACGCGCGTGAGCGATCGCCCCGTGCCTGCGCAGCACCCCAGTTCCAAGGGCCACACGGTCCTGCGACAGCTCGGCCCGAGTGTACGTCACCCCTCTTCAGAGGCCTCGTGGGCTCCCTCGTCGAGTAAAAAAAAAGCTCCTGCTCCTCCTCCTCCTCCTCCTCCTCCTCCTCCTCCTCCTCCTCCTCCTCCTCCTCCTCCTCCTGCCACACCAGGCCCCCACCCCGCCCAGGCCCGCGCGGCGTCGCCGTCGACGGGCCTCTCCCGCCGACCCGTCGGCGGTGTATCGGCGATGTATGCCAGGCGGAGGTTTCCCCCCAGGGAGCCGGCTCCCCCCTCGACACGGGCCTGATAGCCTGCACTGCACTCCTCCCCCTCCTCCTCCTCCTCCTCCTCCTCCTCCTCCTCCTCCTCCTCCTCCTCCTCCCCCTCCTCCCCTTCCTCCTCCTCCTCCTTCTCCTCCTCCTCTCCTCCTCCTCCTCCTCCTCCTCCTCCTCCTCCTCCTCCTCCTCCTCCTCCTTCCTCCTCCTCCTCCTCCTCCTCCCCCTCCTCCCCTCCCCCGCCTCCTCCTCCTCCTCCTCCTCCTCCTCCTCCTCCTCCTCCTCCTCCTCCTCCTCCTACTCCTCCTCCTCCCCTCCTCCTCCTCCTCCTCCTCCTCCTCCTCCTCCTCCTCCTCCTCCTCCTCCTCTCCTCCTCCTCCTCCTCCTCCTCCTCCTCCTCCTCCTCCTCCTCCTCCTCCTCCTCCTCCTCCTCCTCCTCCTCCTCCTCCGCTCCTCTTCCTGCCACACCAAGCCCCCACCACCGTCCAGGCCCGCGCGGCGTCGTCGTCGGCGGCCTCTCCCACCGACCCGTCGGCGGTGCATCGGCAAGTTTTGCCGGGCGGAGGTTTCCCCCCAGGGAGCTGGGCTCCCCAGACCTCGACAGTGGCCTGACAGCCTACCACCGCCCAGGCGCGCGCGGCGTCGTCGTCGGGGGCCTCTCCCACCGACCCGTCGGCGGTGCGCATCGGCGAGTTTTGCTGGGTGGAGGTTTCCCCCCGGGGGGCTGGGCTCCCCCCCTCTAACGTTGCCCCATCAGAGGGCCTCTCGCCGGAGTGACCTCTGGTGCTGGCCCAGTGGGGCTCCCCGATCTCCAGCTGCGCGTTAGCAGCGGCTTGCGCGCCCCAGCGTTATGATGTTCCAATCTACTCTAGCCTGAATCACCAGAGGGTTTTCACGTGTTGGGCATTGGGAGACACTCGTTCGACATTTATTTCGACACTCTTCTGGGAGCTCGAAATCATTTCTGGGATGTGGTCCTTAAGCACGATGGGGGCAACATAAGCCCAGTGGTGCCCCCAAAGGGCCCCTCCTTGGGCCGCGCACCAGAAGTTACTCTTGCCCAGCTGTCACTCTTGCGTGTAGCCTTACGTCTGGCCTGTCCCTCTACAGGAGGAATATCCAAAGACAGAGAATCGTCTGGGGACGATCTGTTGATGATTGTGTGATTGTTTGGGAGTCTATTTCTAGTGCTGTCGATTGTTCGTCCAGCATTCCCCTGTAGGGGGGCATGCCTTTCCTATGCAGCCGAGAGGAGATCGACTCCGCGGAGCGGTTCGACCCTGCCACGGGGGTGTGGGAGGCGCTGCCGCCCATGCGCGAGAGGCGCGCCTCGCTCTTCGCGGCGGCCCTCGCGGGCAGGCTCTACGTCTGCGGGGGCCAGCGCGGCGGCGAGGCCCTGCGCTCCTGCGAGCGCTTCGACCCCGCCGCGGGGTGCTGGGAGCGGCTGCCGGACATGGGGCAGCCGCGTCGGGGTGCTGCGGCGGCGGTGCTCCAAGGAGAAAGCGGGCATGAGCAGGAAGACTCGTGGCGCTCCGCGCGGATCTCTTGGATCCGCGCCCGGGCCCCCCTGGCGGCGCCTCCGGCACCTCGCCCGGCGCGCCCCGCGCGCCAGGGAGGGGGCTCCGGCGCAGCTCCAAGAAGTCCGCGCGGAGGGCCAAGCGTTTTACGTCTGTGCCGTTGCCTCTTCTTCCAGGTGCTGCGTGGGCGGCTGTGCGTCTGCGGAGGCACCCCGGACGACGTGCACGCCGCGTCGGCGGAGTCGCTGGGCCCCGAGGACTCGAGCAGTGGCGAAGCTTCCTGGCGTGCCTATAGGCCTACCGAGCAATATGATAAGAACCTTGTCTGTGGTTTCTCCACGACGTGTTCGTAGGACATTTTTGGCTGGGACTGTCTTGGTTTAGCACATCGGGATTGTGTTCTCAGAACATCGATTTTGTTCTTAGAACATTCTGGGATTCTAAACACATGTCGTGGTAGGCCTACAGATCTGCCCAGGACGGTCGGTCCCTGCTCAGAGGACGGCGCGTGGCGCGCCCTGGAGCCTCTCGCCCAGGGCCGCAGGGAGCCCGCCTCCGCGGTGCTCGACGAGTGCCTCTATGTCTGCGGCGGCGCCTGCGCCTCTGGATGCCTCAGGTGGACGAAGAAACAGCCGGGCTCATTTCGATTCCTCCTTCAGCGAGCGAAGAACGGTATAAAATAAACTTTCCGCCGTCGGAGACACCTGCCCCTGGGCGGCTGGAAAGTTTATACCTCTACGGTGCCACCGTAAGGGTATAAACTTTCCAGCCGCCCTTGGACAGGCGTCCCCGACGGCGAAAAAGTTTATTTTATACCGCTCTTCGCCCGTTCACTGCTATTCGCTTCGAGTCGATCTCGGTGGGTTCCGGGGTTCCGGTTCCGAGTCGATGCGGCAGCGGGTCCTGGCGTGGGAGCCGATCTCTCGCAATGGAGGCCTGTTGGCCTGCCGATGTCTACCGATTCGATGTCTCCCGACTCGCCTGCCGATTTCCGCCGATCCGATTCATTTCGATCGCCGATTCGACTTATGGATTCGATTCTTGGCTCTCCGGAACCAGCTGCAGATCTGAACATGTAATCCTTCGGAGCTCCGCACGGATTTCTGGGATCTGCTCTGCACCCCCCCTGGCGCCCTCCTGCGCGCCAGGGTGCGGACTTCCAGGCGCAGATCCCAGAAGCCCGCGTGGAGCTCCGGATGTCTGAATGCTCACGCGGCTGTCTCTTGCTCTGTGAGGTCCGTCGAGGCATTCGACTCCCGCGACGGCGCCTGGCGCCAAGTGGCCCCGATGTCCGTGGAGCGCCGGCACGCGGCCGCTGTCGTGGCGCTCGGCAAGCTGTACGTCTGCGGTGGCGAGGGCGGCCACCGGCACCACCGCTCCGCGGAGCTCTTCGACCCCGCTCGCGGCTTCTGGGAGGCCCTGGCGCCCATGGCCGTGGCGCGAGCCAGCCCTGCCGCGGCGGTGCCGGGCGTCGAGGAAGCAAACACATCAAGAAGTGGCGAAGCGTCTTGGCGTGCCCACTGTCCTACCAAACAGTTTGCTGAGAACCTTGTGTGGCTTCTCCACGACATGTTCTTAGAGCAGTTCTGGCTGGAGCTGTCTTGGTTGATCACATCGGGGTCTATGTTCCAAGAGCATTGCTTTTGATCTTAGAACGTTTTGGGGCTCTAAGAACACTCCGTGGTAGGACTATAGAAATGCCGGGACGGTCGGTCCCTGCTCAAACATAGGGCACAGACAGAGCCTTTCGGAGTTCCGCGCGGACTTCCTGGATCGGCGCTGGGCACCCGTCCCTGGCCCATGAAGCGCGGCAGCGGCGGCGCCGGGGGCGCTGCTGGGCGGGCCCCGGCGCGGATCCGGGAGATCCGTGCGGACCTCCGATGGCTTCTTCTCATGCCGTGTTGGACAGGTTTCGACTAGACGTAAGAGTGACCTTTCGCCGGAGTGACCTTTGGTGCAGGCACAGAAGCCCCCAGATGGCTGAAAACGAAGCAGGAGCAGCGGCTTGCGCGCCCAGGTTTGGTCCCCCCGCGGCCCCCACAATGCCGCGCACCAAAGGTCACTATTACCCAGGGTCGCTCTTGCGTGTAGCCGAAGGTTCCGACGTGTCTATTCCGTGGACCTCTCCTGTGGTCCCTTGGGGTTCGCTCTGACCAGAGTTTCGATGTGAGCCCGCCGAAGGCGACGAGGGCTCTTCAGGACGGGCAGCGAGATCGGTATCTTCTTTTCCCCTCCTGAGGTTCTGGACGGGCGCGTCTGCCTGGTCGGCGGCCACAGCGGCGCGGGCTTCATCAGCGAGGCGGAACGCTTTGACCCCCTGTCTCGGCGTTGGGAGGCTCCTCCACAAGAAAAACTGGACACCCCCGACACCCCGATGGATTGTTCCTGGGCCTCAGGGGAGGGCGGTGTAATTATAAATCAGCACTGAGAGCCAACGACTCCTACACCGCCACCCTTCCTGAAGGCACAGGCAACATTCTAGACATGTCGCGTAACCTCACTAGCCCATCCAGAAACGATGCCCAGACAAGTTGCCCAGATCAGGGACGTGGAGGCGAACGCAGTGGATGAAAGGGCTGGGTAAGACGTCGTGCCCCAAGAGGAGAGGAAGGATGAGGAATAGGCGGATGATGATGCTGCTGATGATGATGTTGATGATAATGCTGATGATGATGATTGTGATGATGGTGGTGATGGTGGTGATGGTGGTGATGGTGATAATGCTGACGATGATGATGATGATGATGATGATGATGATGATGATGATGATGATGATGATGATGATGCTGATGCTGATGCTGATGCTGATGCTGATGCTGATGCTGATGCTGATGCTGATGCTGATGATGAGGATGAGGATGAGGATGAGGATGAGGATGAGGATGATGAGGATGACGCTGATGATGCTGATGCTGATGCTGATGATGCTGATGCTGATGCTGATGATGATGTTGATGTTGATGATGATGATGATGATGATGATGATGATGATGCTGATGATGCTGCTGCTGCTGATGATGGTGATGATGATGCTGCTGCTGATGCTGATGCTGATGATGCTGATGCTGCTGCTGATGCTGATGCTGATGATGATGATGCTGATGCTGATGCTGATGATGCTGATGCTGATGATGATGATGATGATGATGCTGATGCTGATGCTGATGCTGGTGATGATGATGCTGATGATGATGATGATGATGTTGATGATGACGATGATGAGGAGGAGGACGATGAGGAGGAGGAGGAGGAGGAGGAGGAGGAGGAGGAGGAGGAGGAGGAGGAGGAGGAGGAGGGCTGGTGGGATTAGTCGGCGGATGCCTGTGTGTGTATCCTCGTGGCGCAGAGGCCCTTGGCCCGCTCTCCGCCCGCCGCGGCTCCGCCTCCGCGGCGGTGCTGGGCGGGCGGCTGTACATCGTGGGCGGGCGCGACGGCGCCGAGCTCCGGCGGTCGGTGGAGCTCAGAGGAGGAAAGCACCCAGACCTCCAGCCTCCGGCGGCGAGCGAGGGGGGGGAGGTGAGAAGGAGAAGGCCTTCTCAGAAGGCGGCGGGGCTTCTCGGGAGCCCTCGCGGCTTCTGAGACGTTCTGTTGCGTCTTCGGGGACGGCCGAGAGCACTTCTCGGCCGTCCCCGAGCCCTCAGAGGAGGCCCGCCCCTTCCTCACGCCGCCCACGGGCTCGCCGCCGAGCTGACATGATGACACCTGATCAAGACGATATAGGTGCTCGATGACGAAGCCCTTGCTGGACGCAGCCGCCCAGCTTTTGCGCCGCAAACCGCCGGAGACCGTCGGAGGACCGCCCGAGGACCGCCGCCGGCCGCCGCATGCAGACCGCCGAAGGCCGGCCGGAGAGCGCCGGCGAGCCAGCCCGGGAGCGGTTGCAAAGTCAGGGGGCCACGGTCTGCACACGCAGAAGGTCGCAGGCATAGAGGTTGACACCAACACCCTCCTCCTCCTCGAATCCTCCCTCCTCCTCCTCCTCCTCCTCCTCCTCCTCCTTCTCCTCCTCCTCCTCCTCCTCCTCCTCCTCCTCCCTCCTCCCAGGGCCTCCACCTTCCATACTATCCGCGCGGTTGGTGCGGAATAGGATTTATGTCCTGAAATGTCCTCATATGTCCTTACATGTCCTTACATGTCCTTGCATGTCTCTGTTTGTCCCTTGTGTCCGTTTGTGTCCTCTTGGACGCTTCTCGCGATGATTGGTGCGTTTGCAAGATAACTGTAACATGAAATGGTTGGTTAGTTGGTTGATGGGCTGTTGTTGCTGATTTGTCGGTTCGGTGTGGAGGCAGGTGTGCTTGCATAGTTGTTGAATGTTGTGTTGCGTGCGTGGTGGTGGTGGTCTGGTACGCGGGTTGCTGTTTTGAGTGTGTCGGTCATTCGGTCGTTGGTGAGTGTCGCTGGCTACCACGGGGTACTGTGGTGCTGAGGGGGGGGGCAAGCCTGATGTGCTTCCAAGTCGTTTGCCTGCTCTGCTGCTGCTGCGTGCTTGCGTGCGCGCTTGCTTGCTTGGTTGCTTGCTTGCTTGCTCGCCTCCACCCCTGCACCTGCTCCGTTCGTCTATCTCTGCCTGCACATGCCGCTCTTCCTCCCCTTGCCCGTTTTATCTCTCTCGCCCTCCTCGGGGCGGGAGGGGGCCTCGAGCGATCCCAGCTACAGCCGCGGAGCTAGGGCGGAGCTAGGCCGAGCTATGACGAGCGGCGCTCTGGTCGCACAGGCGCTGCGCGTGCTGGAGGTCTGCCGGGCCCAATTAGATCCCCCTCCCCGTTATGCAATCGATGACCCCTTTATAAGACAGGTTGCCCAATAATAATAATAAAAAAAAAAAAACACCCTAAAACAAGGACGCCACCCGAGAGGGAAGGCGGAATTGCTTTAGGGTGCGTTCCTGCGCCCAGGTGAAGGACGACTGGACAGTGTGCGCCTGGAACCCCGCAAGGGGTTCCAGGCGCACAAGGGGTCTCGCAAAGTACTTGGACTCGACGAAGTGGTGGCTCGCGCTGAAGCACCTCAGCACCGCAAGCAGCGGCCGCATGCGGTTCGAGAGAGACGATCTAGAGGCTGGAGTTCAAGAGGTCACGAGGGAATGGAATACGTAGAGGCGCGGGTTCTGGGAGGAAAAGAGTGAGCTAGGAGCAACAGCCAGAACTGTATGGATATATACTAGCAATTGGCAGGAGGAGCGATGAGGAGCCATGATGAGCCAAGGCGAGGATCTAGGAGCTAAGAGGAGCTATGAGGAGCTCGGGAGATTTAGGAAGAGCTAGGAGGAGCAAGGAAGAGCAAGGAAGGGATATGATAACCTACAGGAGGAGCAAGTGAAGGAGCTAGTAGGAGAGTACTGTTCAGGGATGACCGGAGGGGGAGGAGGAGGCGAAGGAACGGCAGGTGAGAGAGAAAGAGAGAGAGAGAGAGAGAGAGAGAGAGAGAGAGAGAGAGAGAGAGAGAGAGAGAGAGAGAAGAGAGAAAGAAAGAGAGAAAGAGAGAAAGAGAGAAAGAGAGAGAGAGAGAGAGAGAGAGAGAGAGAGAGAGAATGAACAAAAAGAGATAAAAGGAGAGGTGGCAATATGGGGAGAGAGAGAGAGAGAGAGAGAGAGAGAGAGAGAGAGAGAGAGAGAGAGAGAGAGAGAGAGAGAGGGCGACTAACAAGAAACAGCGAAAGATAACACGCCTCTAGGTGGGAGGTGGATGGGAGAACACGCCCGCACCAGAGGAGCGATAGAGCAGCGGAGAGGGGGGAACAAGACAGAGAGAGAGAGAGAGAGAGAGAGAGAGAGAGAGAGAGAGAGAGAGAGAGAGAGAGAGAGAGAGAGAGAGAGAGGGAGAGAGAGAAGAGAAGAGAGAGAGAGAGAGAGAGAAGAGAGAGAGAGAGAGAGAGAGAAAAAGAGAGAGAGAGAGAGAGAGAGAGAGAGAGAGAGAGAGAGAGAGAGAGAGAGAGCCAGAGAGAGAGAGAGAGAGAGAGAGCGAGAGAGAGAGAGAGAGAGAGCGAGAGAGAGAGAGAGGGAGAGGAGAGAGAGAGGAGAGAGCAGAGAGAGAGAGAGAAGAGAGAGAGAGAGAGGAGAGAGAGAGAGAGAGAGAGAGAGAGAGAGAGAGAGAGAGAGAGAGAGAGAGCATGAAATGGCGATCTCCCAGGTGATCCCGCTAGCAAGCCCGACCAGAGTGTGCGCGGAGGCGCTCAAAATAGAGGTCCTCCTGTCGGCGTGGCGCCGCATTGTGAGGACACGTGGGAATAGCAAAACCTCGTCCTCCTCCATTCCCTCCTCCTTCTACTCCTCCTCATCCTTTCCTCGTCGTCCTCCTCTCTCCTCCTCCTATCATCCTGCTTGCGCTCCTCCTTATATTATCCTCCTCCTTCTGTTCTCCTTCGCCCGCCTGCTATTCCTGATCATCCTCGCGTCAATCTTCCTGATCCTGCTCCGAACGCCTCCTCCTGCTCCGAACACCTCGTGCTCCGAACACCCGCGCCCTACCTCCTGCTCCGAACACCTCCTCCTGCTTCCTGCGCCCTACCTCCTGATCCGAACATCTCCTCCAATCCTCGACATCTTCCTAATCCCGCCCTCCTCTTACTCCCCCCCCCTATGCCACCACCTAAGCAGGAACAACTACAAGATCCCGACGAGCCTTCGCGAGAAGCTTAGCAAGACGATCAGCGCGGAGGAGGCGATCATCTGTGCCTCTATCTTCATACATACTGTCACCACTGATCCTCCTTTATGCTCCTCCTGCTCCTCCTGCTCCTCATCTCCTGCTCCTGCTCTTCCTTCTCCTTTGCTCCTCCGCCTTCTCCTCATCATCCTCCCCCTCCTAGCTAGCTGCTTCCCCCCCCCGCATCTCCATGGCAGTTCCCCCCCGCTCCAGTCTCCTTCTTCCGACCTCCTCCAAGTTCCTCCTCCTCCTCCTCGCCCGACCCCCCTCCCTGCTACTCCTCTAGCTCATCCCCCCCTCCAACTCCTCCCCCTTCCCCCCCTTCACTCGTCAACCTCCCACCTCTCCTGCATTGTGCTCCTCCAGTGAGGCAATGCTGCCGAAGCAGAACTTCATGGCGTTCGCCAGGGGCACTTTCAGGAAAAAACCCGAGCAGCGGCAGCGGCAGCGATGCGGATCCGAGCGACAGCGACGCGATCGAGCAGAGAACAGGCTCGGCGAACGCTTCCAGCTGCCACCGGGTCGATCGCGCTTCGGCGAGGCTGCGAAACTTCAGATCGGGTTGGTCGCAGATCGTCTGCGACCCACCGGCTCGATCTGAAGTTTCACGACCTCGCCGAGGCGCGATGATCCGAGCGCAGGTAAGAATCGTTCCATTTCAGGGGCGGCTGCGGCAGAGAACGAGGCAAAGGCATCCCCGAAACCGATAGCTGCTCCACCAGCGGCGATGCCGATACAGGACGACGACGAAGCCGGCTGCGCAGGCGCAGAATCGATCGACAGCCTAGACGAGTCACAGTCATCAGATGACGCCGGCCAGAGAGAGATGCCAACGATTCTTGACGACGGCCCATTGGTGTTTCAAGCAAATGCTCAGAACACGTGGATGTTGCGCACAGCAGACAAGGAGCCAGCAAAATATGCAATCCCTGGGAAGAGCGGCAACGCCATATACTGTTGGGAAGACGGCGATACATACTACAGCTGCCACAAGTTCGAAGACGCCGCCGAGCACATGCGGAAGATGAAGGCGCGGGCCAGAAACCGATGTTGTGAAATACCTGATTTGGGGGATCTAGCACTTGAAATATTGTTAGGGATGCTCGTGCGCTGCATTAAGATCCCTCACAGTTTCTCCAGTGGTAGACCTTTTCGGATGCCTCTTGTTGGGTTCTTGGAGCCGTCCGAGGCTGTTTGGACTCATTCTCGCGGGGTGTCTCGGGGACGGTGTCTTTGGGCTGCCTGGCGCGCAAGGCCTCTGGGGGTCGCCTCGGGAGGCGGGCGGTTGGGGTCGAGGAGGTCAGGGCTGAGGGGGGGCTGTCTAAAGGTCGCCTGCTCGCTCCGCTCACTCCCTGTCTCTCGCTCTCTCTCTCTCTCTCTCTCTCTCTCTCTCTCTCTCTCTCTCTCTCTCTCTCTCGCTTCTTTTGCTCTTCTCTCGCTCCCTCTCTTCTCTCTCTCTCTCTCTCTCTCTCACTCTCTCTCTCTCTCTCTCTCTCTCTCTCTCTCTCTCTCTTTCTCTCTCTCTCGCCTCTCTCTCTCTCTCTCTCTCTCTCTCTCTCTTCTCTCTCTCTCTGTCTTGTTCTCCCCTCTCCGCTGCTCTATCGCTCCTCTGGTGCGGGCGTGTTCTCCCATCCACCTCCCACCTAGAGGCGTGTTGTTATCTTTCACTGTTTCTTGTTAGTCGCTCTCTCTCTCTCTCTCTCTCTCTCTCTCTCTCTCTCTCTCTCTCTCTCTCTCTCTCTCTCTCTCCCATATTGCCACCTCTCCTTTTATTTGTCTTCTCTCTCTTTCTCTCTTTCTCTCTCTCT